TAGACACAAAAACCTAGACTGGCTGACCCCGACAGCCGCACCCTTATTCACTACCTCCTAAGATGTCCCCACACACAACGCTTCCGTGACGCCTGCTGGACCACCACTCCACGACCCCCTGACGGAGACACGATGATCCTCCCATACTGGCCAGATATTTTGTAAATAATATTGATTAGGTGTTAAAGGAACATCCTTCCTTCCTTAGGCTTTAGTAAGCCCCTTTATAATATTTATACTGTATATACTTTTCACACTTGCCAGATGATTCTGGTGTCATTGTACAGGGGTACCTAGTGACAGCACTAGGATCCCGCTTCCTCTATCAAGGAATAAACAATTGAAATTGAATTGAAATTGACTGGCTGACGGACACCAACAACACATGCTGAACACTTAGGATGATATTATGGAACCGGGAACTATAATGACCGCACAACCAATACTAAACATATATTATAAAAACAGACCGAATGTGTACCCAATTTCATCTGTCAAACATGATGAGAGTAATGAATAAATCCTATCGTTCTGACAAAAGCTAAAAGTATCAGATCCCATTCAGTGGACGTTTAATTATTGCACCATTGCTCATTCATCCAGAGAGACGGCTCGCTGCATGTCTTTGTCGTGCATGAGCATGTATCTAGTATACATCTACCCGGCTGTGTTCCTGGTCCTGACACAAGTGATGGACTCGACAACAAACACAAGAGATGGACGTTTTTAAGTTTCCCACCAGGAACAATACGAACGACACACAACACTTTACTCAATACATATAACCCGTTGAAGCACCGATTCGCGAAGGAAAGAAGCCTACAACACACATTACTAAGAGACATCAAGGTGATTTGAATTACTTTTTACTCGTTTATTTTTCTTAATTATACTGACGAAGCAGCGACGGAACAAGTCTTTACAACACACGGTCATTCCTGTTACTAATGTATGAATGCGAGACACTTTTTCAGTCAACTCCTTCACCGATTCTCGCGCTTAACCCTTTAAAGATTGGCAGTTAGGTATTCTACTGTATTATGGCTAACAAAACCGTTTATTCAGCTAAATGGGTTAAAGCAACATTACACATTATGGACACAACACACCTCTTGAATAACAAACACACAAATGATTAACTGTTAAACGTACCACTCAAGAGTTTACAGTGTGCCTAAGAAATAATATTAGACGGAAACAGCCACTCGAAAACCCAATCAATTTCTTATTTAATTATTTACAAATCTACTACTGAATTTTGAAGCCTCCACTAATTCCATCATCATTATTATTATTATTATTATTATTATTATTATTATTATTATTATTATTATTATTATTATTATTACTACTACTATTATCAAGGTGTCAGGTTATATTGCCGACTTAACGGAAGACGTTATGAAAAGCAATGAGTAGACGGGCAGAGAGCAAGGTGGAGGCTGCTCTGCGCCGTGTTCACCAGCAGCACCTCCCACACACCAAGACCCTCGTGCATGTCTTCTTCACTTAACTCACCAGAATATCTCGCGTCACAGCTGGTGGCCGCCGGCAAGGCCAGGTACATCCTGTGTTATAGTGGTAATAACACACTGGCTCTATTTCCCGGTTTAATAAGCCAACTCCTACTGCTTCCCACTTCGGGGCCACTTCTTGTTGTTGTTGTTAATTTATTGTATCTACTGTATTTGGTACAGTACTGTATATATTATACCTGGTACGGTACTATATGTATTGTAACTGTCACTGACCTGAATCTAATGTAGCTGGTACTTGTAGTCGTTACTAAATTGTATTGATCGCAGCTGGTACAACACTGCAGGTATTATAGTTGCTAGAACTTGCTGCTGAACTTTATCTATTGTAGTTGATGCTATACTGTAACTATTGTAATTGTTAAGGAATTGTATCTATTGTGGGTGGTACTGAAACGTCCTTTTGCTGGGTAATATCTGATACAATTACCAAAGACAGCAACAGCAAAACATAAGTAGAATTTTAATCCAGCTATACCACCAGGCGATTTTATACATCTAGGAGCCTGCAAGTAGCAATTCTTGAACATGATACACCCCTGAAAAATATCCCAAGATAGACTGACAATGTGAACAATCTCAAACCTCTTTTGAGTCGAAGAATAAAGCATTCTTGAATAAAGTAATGCTCCAACACTCTCAAAACTCCAAGGGCAAAATGCACCAAGTTTTAGAGCTCAGCGTGGCAGGACTTCCACGACTTGGCCTTCAACTTTCTCAAGAAAGGTTTTATAATCAGGATAAAACACTAAAGTCAAGACAGGTCGCACCCTGAAGCTCGGATCAACACCATGATTTGACTCATCTTGTATTTCAACAAACACAACCATCGTTTAGTTTAGGGTGATGAAACATGTCATAGTTATCTTCTAAACCGACACGCTAAAGTGAATGTTTATGAGGTACAAAGAACCCGGGACAGCGGTGGTATCTCGTAACACACTAATCTAAGTCAGAGACACACAGCGCTGGAGAAATCTACATACTGTACTAAGCTCAGGGATTTAAGAAATTAATTTATATTTTGTAAGGTCATGGAAGACCACATTTTAATGCAACATGTACCAGTATGCACCAACCATTGTAGAATACCCTTTGTTTTGGTTAACTATGTTAATGAGAGGCGGGCAGGAACGCCAGGTGCTATTGATTGCTCGTGCTGGCGCCGTATTTATAGCAGGGGGCCTGTGTCTGCGTCTATGTCTGAGTCTGTGCCTGTACGTAAAAATATATCCCTGAAAAAAGAAAATAGGTGCAGAGGCGAGTAGTGAGGGAATGGAGGATCGAGCCGCCACTATCCTGACGACGAAAAATAATGGTGAAGAGGTCGTGCGGGCCTCGTCCCTTACTCAAAAGCTAATGTTCCTCCTCAGCTAACACACCCACACGCCTCCACTAACACACCCACACGCCTCTCCAGCTAACACACCACTCCTCCCCACCTAACACACCCACACTCCTCCCACCTATTACCTAACCTCCTCCCCACCTAACACACCCACACTCCTCCCCACCTAACACACACTCCTCCCCTAACACACCACAACTCCTCCCCACCTACACCACACCCTCCCCACCTAACACACCACCTCCTCCCCACCTAACACCCACTCCTCCCCACCTAACACACCCACACTCCTCCCCACCTAACACACCCACACTCTCCCCCACCTAACACACCCACCTCCCTCCCACCCTAACACACCACTCCTCCCCACCTAACACACCCACACTCCTCCCACCTAACACACCACACTCCTCCCCACCTAACACACCCACACACTCCTCCCTCATAGCCAAATAAAAAATAAATAAAAGGTTCAGACAAAAATAATGCAAACCAAATTGCTAACTGGCTAACCCTCCCCATTAAATAAAAGAAAGGGGAACGTGTCTCCTCTATTGGCGGATGTATCAGTCTTAGATGGAACCGGGGGAAAAAATTCAACAACTGTATATACCAAACAAAAACTAATATAGACAAAGGGAAACTACAGTGAGTATAGACGAATAAAGAAAATATCAGCAATAGTTTCGTAGTCAAAAAACCATTACCATTTATAATTAAATGATACCACCACCCTCAAAGTATAAGGACTCGGGCTACTATAATTCCTTTAAGTGACACGTTTCGAGTACCACTGATCTTCAACTCGGAAAATATCAGAATTCATCGGCTTCCTTTGTTTAAGGCCCCCCCTCCGCCTATGAAAACTGCAGGGATAAAATCTAAAAGTAAAATAGTAAGTAAATATGGATCATGTAAGGTAATTAATTAAAAATGGGTAAATAATGGAATAAGCTCGTTGATAAAGGACAAACTGTATTATAAACAATAATAAAGAAACGAGAACGGTGCCAAAAGAAACCGCAAATTACTACTGTACTAAAACAACGTGGCCATCAAAGGGACACGAGTATACGTGGGGGAACAGTACAAACACGGGAAGCTCTTTAAAGGAACAATTACTCAAGTCTACACACACACACACACACACAGAGTTTCCCTTATCCCTGTTGTTATTTATACTGACCTCAAAAAATGGCCGAGAAGTTAATTAAACATTCAGGTGTACACCGACCAATTTTATTCGAAATTATTATTTCATCGGGTCATTCTCTGACCCCGGTATCTCAAGACTCGAGCTTTCAGTGGCAAAAGCCTCGGCAAGATAAAAGGAATTCATTAATATTTTCTCACTAAACTGATATCAAGGAACACTCGGGGGAATGCAATACATATGACGGAATTTACAATTAAGATGACTCAATTGTTTTCGTTTTTATTAAAATTATAAACAAAGATTAAATTATTAATATATACAAAAGAGAGTGGTTTAAACCTTCATCAGGGAGATACCCAAACGTTGTAAGAGAAATTAATAAACCCGATGGGCTGACGTATATATAAAATAAATCATTTATCGAGTTACTATTATATTCTCAATGATAAAGATATAAATAAATACGTAACGAATCTAGCAAAGTTGACGAGTCATAATAACTCATCAGTTGAGGAGGCAATATCTTCCTAACTTTGACGACTACAAGTATAATGTAATGTAAGGTGTTGAGGCTGTGTTCCCGCCCCTCAACTCTCACAACCTCAAGAGGCTGTCACCTTTCCCAGCAACACCGTCAACACCTATCTACTAGCACCTTCCCAACACCTTTCAACACCTATCTACTGGCACCTTTCCCCAACACTGTCAACACCTATCTACTGGCACCTTCCCTGCAACACTGTCAACACCTATCTACTAGCACCATCCCCGCAACACTGTCAACACCTATCTACTAGCACCTTCCCTGCAACACTGTCAACACCCATCTACTAGCACCTTCCCCGCAACACTGTCAACACCTATCTACTAGCACCATCCCCGCAACACTGTCAACACCTATCTACTAGCACCTTCCCCGCAACACTGTCAACACCCATCTACTAGCAACCTTCCCCTGCAACACTGTCAACACCTATCTACCAGCACCATCCCCTGCAACACTGTCAACACCTATCTACTAGCACCTTCCCCGCAACACTGTCAACACCTATCTACTAGCACCTTCCCCGCAACACTGTCAACACCTATCTACTAGCACCTTCCCGCAACACTGTCAACGCAACACTGTCAACACCTATCTACTAGCACCATCCCCTGCAACACTGTCAACACCTATCTACTAGCACCTTCCCCTGCAACACTGTCAACACCATCTACAGCACCTTCCCTGCAACACTGTCAACACCTATCTACCAGCACCCAACACCGTTCCATCTACTAGCACCTTCCCCTGCAACACTGTCAACACCTATCTACTAGCACCATCTCCTGCAACACTGTCAACACCTATCTACTAGCACCATCCCCGCAACACTGTCAACACCTCATCTACAGCACCTTCCCCTGCAACACTGTCAACACCTATCTACTAGCACCATCCCCTGCAACACTGTCAACACCTATCTACTAGCACCATCCCCGCAACACTGTCAACACCATCTACTAGCACCATCCCCTGCAACACTGTCAACACCTATCTACCAGCACCATCCCCTGCAACACTGTCAACACCCATCTACTAGCACCATCTCCCTGCAACACTGTCAACACCTATCTACCAGCACCATCCCCTGCAACACTGTCAACACCTATCTACTCAGCACCATCCCCTGCAACACTGTCAACACCTATCTACCAGCACCATCCCCCTGCAACACTGTCAACACCTATCTACCAGCACCATCCCCTGCAACACTGTCAACACCTATCTACTAGCACCTTCCCTGTACCTGTGCCCTTGTACTGTAGGTCGCCCACGGGTGATGGTGTATTTTCTTTTTCTATTTATAAGTTCTGTAATGTTTATCGTGTATGTTCC